GAACCCAAATAAAACAAATTAAAATTTTAAATTATTTTTGAATTTTTTTTATTTTGTTCACATAGATATATGAAATACAGTCAGAAAATCTAACGCTAGCAAAAGAGGATGGTGAAAGAGAAAAAAACGACGAAGGATGACGACAAATATTCAACTTGTTTTTCATCATTATTGTTCGGACTTTCTGAACTAAATAAAGTGAATTTGGTTAGATTTTCATAACTGAACAAATTCACTTTGGCGCTGTTTGGAAAACAAGGGTTCAGGCTAATATGGTCCGAAATTAAAAATAAGCCAAAAAGCCCCACTGTTCAATCCTTTTTATTTATAAAAAAAAAAAAAAATAGGTGCAGCTGTCGGACAGTGTAGGCACAGCCTACACTGTCACATTGACAAATTGTTACATCACTTGGTAAATTACGATTTTGCCCCTTTACATCAATTTAAAAAATTGTAATTTTAAGGACAAATTTGTCATTTTAACTTCAAACATCATTTCAACACATTTTTCAATACAACAACTCAAATAAAAATTCATCTCATCTTCCCAAACACAAAAACTAAAATAGCCTACTAAAATAGCCAAAAAGCCAAAAAGCCTCTAAAATAGCCACTTCCCAAATGAGGCCTTTGTTCGGCTGTACTGAACAAAGTGAAATTGTTCGGTTATGAAAGTCCAAACAATAATAACAAAAAAGAGGCTAAATATTCAATTTTATGTATAAAAAAATACAGATATCAATAATTGTACTTTGGTATTTATGTGAATACTTATCTCCCTTTTGATGTATTATTTCAGAATACTGTTTTGATTATTACTCTCGTCCATTATTTAATTTTATTCAAACTTTTTTCTATTTGTAAATAACAACATAATAAAAAACAATGATGTTAATGATAATGGTGAGTTTTGGTGTGGTAAATTGAAATTTTGAAGTGAGAAAGAATCAGAAGAGAAAATAATTGAAACTTAAGAAAGAATATAAAAAATATGTATATTGATTAGGGTGTACCATGAAAAAAAAAAATTTTACTGTTTAATATGTATTGTCCTTATTATGAATTAAAATTTTAAAATTTGAGTTGGGAGTACTGTGATAAATTTTAGAGTTCAAATTGGTCCGTTTTTGAACTGGACTACCATAATTTTAATCACTCTAAGACCTTTTAGTTTAAGAAAAACCGAAAAACTAACCAAACCGATTGAACCAAACCGAACTGGTTATATTTGGTATGATTTTTAATAAGAATCGGTTTGTGTGGTTTTTTAATTTGATCTTTTTCGATTTTCGGTTTGGTATTAATTTAAGCGCGTTGTACACCGAACTAAACCGAAACTAACCGCTTGAATATATATTGTATTTATAATATATATATATAATCTAATAATATAATGATAGTAATAAGTATAATAAATTATTAACCTTAATTAATTAATCTTATCATCTCTATACCTTAAGTTTGTAAACTTTTATTATATATATTCTTAACTTTAACTAATTATTCTTGAAATCTTAGTGGTTTTTAACTTTTCTGTATTTATATTTTTGTTAATCTAGGAATTTAAAAGTATTTATTAAATGGATTGATGAGATAGGTTTGAAATTGTGAAAAAACCTTGTCCTCCGAGCTCATTTGATCGTCTTTCATGGCGAACAACGACGAAATACCGTTGTCTGCCATTGACGGTGTAACCCCGGAGTCAGCTAGACAGAGAGACGGACTCCCCGCGGTTCCGAACATGGCGGACTTGGAAACTTCCCCAGGAGGACTTCCGAGAGATGCACGAGATAAGCGCGCCAGAAGTTTTGGTCGCTCACGGAGCCCAGACGGACACCGACGGCGAAGAGAATTGCATGCTCGGCGTCTAGAGCACAAGTTAAGGGACCAAGACACCGTCATCCAGAGAAGGGTAGCAGAGATGGAAGCTCTCAAACGCCAGGTCAAAGGGAAGGGTGTTGCTGGAATGAGAGACCACAGTGAGCGCACCCAACCCCGCCGTTCAGGTAGCCAGAGCCAGCGGCGCACTCCCTCCCTTTCTATCACCAGAAGCTATAGGGGTGGAGACCTAGACACGCCTGCGGAGAAGTCTAGTGCGCAAGACAGTACCTACCATCCCTCACGTTCGTCGACCACTTCGGGATATTCTTACTCTGTTCGTTCAGAAGACTTGAGGGATGTCCTGAAAGAGCGAGCTCGCCGACGGGAGGTCGAAAGGGTGCCGACGTTCCAGCGGTTATCTTACAAAGGTCACCATAGTGAGGAGATTATGATGCCGCCCTGTTTGACCGTGCCAGTTCCTTTGGACACTGACTTAGCGAGGCTGAACGTCTCCCCCTTCTTCCTTGAAATAGAAACCACGCCGCTCCCAGCAGGATTTCACTAGCCCAAGTTTACATTTTATGACGGCAAGAGCAATCCGTACATACATGTAAGCCACTTTCGGCAAGTCATGGCCGGACACAGGCGTAATGATGTTCTTATGTGCCTTATTTTTCCATCTAGCTTGGGCGAACTGGGCTTGAAATGGTTTGAGAGACTCCCGGAAGAGAGCATTGAGAGGTGGCAGCAGTTGGCGGAAGCATTCGTGACTCGTTTCAAAACCAACACCAAAACGCCAAAGGAAGTGGACTACCTTCTAAGTGTCAAGATGGAGTCGAGTGACACCCTCAAGGCAAACAACTATAGGTACTGGGAAACCTTCAACGAAATCCTAGATTGCTCGATCAACCTGGCAATCACCCAATATAAGCGCCCAGTCAGGCATAGGCTGAGGGACTCGCTTACAATGAACCAGTCGACGTCGATGGGACAACTAATGCAGCGCATCAATGAGAACCTCCGCGTAAAGGATGATGCGACGGCATCCACCATGAAGACAAATCTAGTGGTAACAGACAAAAGGGTTGCTGACAAGGTACACGCTGTCGGACAGGAGACTAACTGTCCAAATGATCGCGCCAGGGAATCTGACCGTGGAACAAATCATTGAAACCGGGGTAGAGGTCGCCGTAATAACCGAGCAGAATATCCCCGCGATGACGCAGCTAATGCCAACAGAAGGTTGAACGCCCGGACGGGTATCACCACGGTATTTAAAATTCCAATCTATCGCATCCTTAGTGAAATCCGTGACGAGTATTATGTCCGGTTTCTTGCTAAGTTAGGTAATGAGCAAAAGGGCTTCAATCCGTGGTACCGCTGCACTTATCATAGGGAGCGAGGACACCGGACAGAGGACTGTTTACCTTTGAAGCAACATTTGGAGGAGTTAGTCGTCGCCGGTCACTTAGACCTTTACATTGATGGGGGCGTCAAAACCGCGCATCCTACCCCGGCTGATCTGAATGGTTTGGATGACTTAGAAGCGCCCTCTCAAGGAGTGGTCAATGTGATCCACGACATAGTGGAGCCGACATGTGTGTGCGAACTCCGAGGAATGATAAAAAAAGGCGGAACATATGAGAGAAGTTTTGTTAGTCCAGCCCGCGGTAAAAAAGGGGAAGACCGAGGAGAAAGACGTGATTAGTTTCTCAACTAGGGACCTAGAGCACATTCAAACACCACACAACGATGCCCTAGTGGTCATCCTCCATGTCAGAGAGTTCGATGTCAAGCGCATCTTGATTGACCAGGGAAGCTCGGTTGAGATTAGGTACTACGATGCGTTCAAGCAACTCAAACTCCGGGATACAGACTTGGCTCCAGCAACTTCGCCACTGGTTGGTTTCAACTTGCAACCGGAGTGGCCTATGGAAAAGATAATTTTACCGGTCAAAGCCGGATCCATGGTCAAGCAGGTGGAGTTCTGGGTATTGAAGGTGCTGTCTACATACAATCTGATCCTCGGTAGGGAATGACTTCACGCTATGCAGGCAGTAGCGTCGACCTACCACCAAGTTATGAGATTTTCCTCGGCTATGGGGGAAATTGAGGAAATTTGGGGCGATCAAGTCATGTCGAAGCAATGCTTCGTGGTAGTGAATGGGAGCCGAGGTGCCAAAGGCTTCGTCTAAATGATTGAAAGTCCGGAAGACCAGGAGTCCTTGAAGATGTGGGGGCCAAAGTCGATGACAAGGCTGTTGAAGAATTGGTGGAAGTGCGGATCGACACCGAAAGTCCAAACAAATTCTTTTTGCTAGGGTCAAGCCTTACTGCCCAAGAAAGGACTGAGATGGTAGATTTCTTGATGGCGAATATCGAAGTCTTCACCTGGACGCCGTACGACATGCTCGGCGTTGACCCAAGCTTTATTTGCCACCAACTCAATGTTTTCCTGGATGCACGCCCTATCATTCAAAGAACAAGGAGATCGGCTCTTTATCATGCCGAGGTAGTCGCGGAGGAGGTAAGGAACCTGTTTGAAGCACGGGGCTATTCAGGAAGTGCACTACCCTCGGTGGATTTCAAACACGGTCGTAGTACCCAAGAAGAATGGGAAGTGGCGAGTTTACGTTGACTACAAGACCGTCAACCGAGCTTGCCCTAAAGACAGCTTTCCTCTGCCCAGAATAGACCAGCTGATGGATCTAACGGCCGGGCATAACAGGCTTAGTTTCTTGGATGCGTACCACGGTTATCATCAGATTGTCATGCATGGCGCCGACCACGAGATAACCTCTTTCACCACTCTAAGGGGACTCTTCTGCTATCGAGCCATGCCTTTTGGTTTGAAGAACACCGGGGCAACTTTCCAAAGGATGGTGACCAAAATGTTCGCTCCTCTACTAGGCCGGACGATGGAGGCTTATATCGATGACATGGTGGTCAAAAGCAAGCATCAGGTAAACCACTTGTCCGACCTAGCTGGGATGTTCGCCATTCTCAAACAGCACAAGCTATGCCTGAATGCGTCAAAGTGTGCCTTCGACGTGGGATCCGGGAAATTCCTGGGCTTTCTAGTCACAAACTGAGGCATCGAGGCGGACCCCACACAAATCAAAGCCATACAAAAATTGAAGCAACCCAATTCGGCGAAGGACGTACAGCATCTGGCTAGAATGGCCGCCGCGCTTAACCGATTTATAAGCCGATCATCAGATCGCTGCTGCCCTTTCTTTCGAGCCTTGAAATCCAAGTTTTCATGCGACGAGGAATGTGATAGGGCTTTGGCCGAGCTCAAGGCGTATTTGTCTTCTGCTCCATTATTGGTGACACCCAAGCTCAGCGAAGAACTCTACCTATATCTGGTAGTTTCACAGCATGCAGTTAGCGTGGTGCTTGTCCGGTCAGAAGGTATCCAGCATTTCCCTATCTTTTACGTGAGCAAAACCTTGCTACCGGCCGAGTCGAGGTATTTGCTGCTGGAAAAACTTGCTTTGGCATTGATGATAGCCTCCAGGAAATTTGTGCACTACTTTCATGCTCACACAATCATTGTGTTGACCGAATTCCCTCTTAAAGCCTTGTTCGAGCGGGCAGATTTCTCCGGTCGAATCCTGAAGTGGGCGGTCGAATTGGGACAATTCGACGTCAAGTTTCAACCTCGAATGGCCATAAAAGCATAAGTATTAACGGATTTCGTTGCTGAATTATTGCTTAGAATTCACCAAGTATGCCTGGTGGATCTCACTGCGGTAGCTGAGAAAGTGAATGAAGGCTCAACGGAAATTGCACAACAGGGTGATAGTGGCGACGCGGAACTTGCGCGCTCGCCCATAACACCTCTTGTCGGAATAGTACAGCAGCCTGGCAATGCGGCGACGGACTTGGGCATAACAGACTAACCTGTTGGGTCCAGTATCGTATCGCCGAGGGGGGATGAAGTGGAACTGAACAACAGCAAACTTGAAAATGAACAACCAAGTGCCCGTGATCCCACCAACTTTCAAGCCTCCCAGGACCCCTCAGAGTGTTGGAAACTTTTCGTTGGTGAAATGTGGAAACTTTTTGTAGATAGAGCCTCAAATCGTCACGGCGCCGGGCTGGGCATAATTTTGATCTCGCCAGATTGTCTGACCATCGAGCACTCTATCACCCTCGGATTCCCTGCGTCAAACAACGAGACTGAGTACGAGGCGCTATTGGCCGGGCTTAAGAGTACGCTTCAGTTACGCGCATCCGAACTGATGGTTTACAGTGACTCCCAACTTGTTGTCAACCAAATGTCCGAGGTCTACGAAGCCAAAGACGACAAAATGGCCAAGTACCAAGCTCTCGTAAGAGAACACATCAAGTGATTCCAGGTAATAGGGGTCCAACAAATTGGTCGTGAAGAAAACGGCGGGGTAGATGAGTTAGCCGGTCTAGCTTCAATGGTCGACAGAACATCTCCCAGCCCTCTCCTGATTGAGTTTCTTCCAAGGCCTAGTATCGAGGAACTCGAGCAGACAGAAGTACTCTGCACCGAACTTGGCCCTTCTTGGATGGACCCTATTACCCTCTTCTTGAAAGAACGGACCCTTCCGGCCGATAAAAAGGAAGCACATAAAGTCCGGGTGAAGTCAAAGCGGTTTTGGCTCTCTCCATCTGGCGCTTTATACAAGAAGTCATACACCGGTCCTTACCTCAAGTGTGTACACCCAAACAGCGTGGAAGCTTTCCTGTACGAATTTCATGAAGGCATATACGGAAGTCACATCAGGGGAAGATCTTTGGCCTACCGAGCTATCTCGCAAGGATATTGGTGGCCATGTATGCAAGCGGACGCTCAAAAATATGTTAGAAAATGTGAGAAGTGCCAGAAGTTCGCCCATCAAATTCACCAGCCGGCCAGAGAACTTCTTCCCCTCACAAGCCCTTGGCCTTTTGCGATGTGGGGACTAGACATAGTGGGACCACTCCCAACGGCACCAGGTAACCGAAAGTTCTTCATTGTGCCTACAGATTACTTCACCAAATGGGTTGAAGCTGAGCCTTTAGCGACTATCAAGGAGAAAGACGTCAAATGGTTTGTCTGGCAGAATGTGGTAATGCGGTTTGGCGTCCCCTCTGATTTCTGATAATGGCACCCAATTTGATGGGAGCTTATTCAGAGGGTTTTGTGAGAAATTAAAGATCGAATTCTACAACTCCACTCCGGCTTACCCGCAGTCCAACGGCCAAGCCGAAGCATCAAACATGACCATTCTTGATGGGTTGAAGAAAAGACTTGAGAAAACCAAAGGAAAATGGGCTGAGGAACTCCCAAGTGTCCTTTGGGCATATCGGACGACCCCGAGGCGATCTACCGGAGAAACTTCTTTTGCCCTGGCATACGACATGAAGGCAGTCATCCCATTGAAAATCGGCATGCCCACTATCCGCAGTGAAAATTTTGAGCCCGAAATGAACTTTGAAGTAGTTGCCCTGGAATTGGACCTAACTGAAGAGCGCTGAGAAAAAGCTTTGATCCACGTGGCCGCATACCAACAAGAATTGTCTAGGAAATACAACAAAATCGTGCATCCCAGACCGTTTAAAGTGGGGGACTGGGTTTTAAGAAAGGACATGGGCAACACACTAGTGCCGGGTAAAGGCAAGCTAGGGGCAAACTGGGAAGGGCCCTACAAGGTGACCGTTCTGGCGGGCAAGGGGGTATACCACTTAGAGGATTTGGAAAACAAATGCGTACCCCAGCCATGGAATGCGGCCAACCTCAAACTGTATAGTTTTTAGTATTTATCGTTCTTATGCAATTTTTTGAGGAAGGATTTGTTTTCCTTACACTTCCGAATGTAATACTCTTTTGTCAATATAATAGAAGTGAATTATCTTTGCTGAAGCAGTTTGTTGTTTTCGGAGCCTACTCTTGTGTTTTAACCGAGATGATTTACCTCGGCTAACAGAGTTGACGATTTGATCAACTCTGCAGCTTCAGCCGAGATGGTTTACTCCGGTTGAAGGAGTTAATAATTTGCTCAACTCTGCAGTTTCAGCCGAAATGATTTACTTCGACTGAAGGAGTTGATGATTTGCTCAACTCTGCAGTCTCAGCCGAGATAGTGTACTCCGGTTGAAGGAGTTGATGAATTGCTCAACTCTGCAGTCTCAGCCGAGATGGTTTACTCTGGCTCAAGGAATTGATGATTTGCTTAACTCTACAGCTTCAGCCGAAATGATTTACTTCGGCTGAAAGAGTTGCTGATTTGCTCAACTCTACAGTCTCAGCCGAGATGGTTTACTCCGGCTGAAGGAGTTAATGATTCACTCAACTCTACAGCTTCAGTCAAAATGATTTACTTCGGCTATAAGAGTTGTTGATTTGCTCAACTCTGAAGTTTCAGCCGAGATGATTTACTCTGGTTGAAAGAGTTAATGATTTGCTCAACTCCGCAGCTTCAGCCGAGATGGTTTACTTCAGCTGAGTTGATGATTTGCTCAACTCTGAAGTTTCAGCCGAGATGATTTACTTTGGCTAAGTGATTCACTTCGGCTAAAGGAGTTGGTGATTTGCCCAACTCAAAGGCTCTAGCCGATGTGATTTATCCCTGCTAAAAAGGGTACGTTTCGCTTAGATCAAAGATTCCCGCCGAGATGATGAAACACAGTACAACAAGCAGTGCAACAGTTAACGAAATGAGAACTCTTCATTGATGGTAAATTGTAATACATAAGATGGGGCAGACAGTCCAGTTACATTTAGGAAAAAAAAAATAGAAAAGAAAGCTAAACTAAGGGAGAAAGGTCAGTGAAGTCATCCCCGGTTGCAACTACCTCCAGGTCGACCGTGGTTGTGGTTTCTCGGGTGCTAGACTCGATTTGGCCGGCCTCCTTCGGGCGGTTTGTTCCCTTGGCACCCTTCTCGACGTTTTCCCCGCCCTTTTCCTCGGCCTCGGCTTGCAATGCACTGAAGACATCGTTAGCATACGGCACCACGTAGGCCGACAGAAAGGCAGCGGGGGGAGAGGCAAACACGTCAGTTCCAAATCCTTGGCCAAGCTGTTCGCAAGCAGCCTTCCAGCTGGACTTGAAGAAAATGTCCTTGGTGGCCTCGACTTACGACTTACTTGGTGTAGCTATCCTTGGCCTCCGTGAAACCTTAGTTGTTTGCCTCGTCCAGTTCATCCTTCCTTGACTGCTTCGGCCTAGAAAGCGTCCATTTTCTTCTCAACAGCTCCGAGTTGGCCGAGCAGTTTGGCGTTGTCGGTATTGACAATCTCCAAGGAAGCCTTCGATCGCCCCAGCTCGGTTTGAAGGTGCTCGACCTGGTTGGCGGCGTCGGTCGCCTTCTGCCGGAGTCTATGAATCCGTTCCATTACAAGATGTTGTTTCTGGATGGCCAGTAAGAAGAGAGTTTGAATAAAGAAAGCCAACCGTGCAAACACTTGGAAAATTTTGAATAAAGCATGCGAAATTCTTACCTGGGTCATAGACTTGACCGAGGACTTCACGAGCCGGGTGTCGGGCACGTGGTCACTGCCGGTCACGTCGCTCGGCAGGAGGAGGGCTTTTGTCAGGTTGAAGGCTAGGAGGTGTTCTTTGTCGCCTTTGACCGAAGCGTTTGCCGGGATCTCCTTACCCCAGTGCTTCAACTGGGGTTTCCAGGGCGGTGTTGGCTCAGATGCGACCGTGGGTTGCTCGGTGTTCAGCTCTGCAACGAGCTCGGCTGTGGGGTCGGCGGTCCGAGGCCTTTTCCCAACTCGGCGACTCTCCTTGCTGGTATGCACTGCGGCAGTTGAAGCCAACGCAACCACGGCCACACTTGTTTAACCTGCAGCAGCAGGGCGCGGAGGGATGCTCGGTAGCTCGGTGGATGTGGTAGTGATGAGGTTCTTAATGCGGCTTCGTTTGGGCATTTCCTCTTCTTCGGTTAGCTGGATTAGGGGCACATCCGGTAGTGTTAGGTCGGGTGGTGGAAACGGTGCTCTGAGGAAGTCTATTACTCTACTTCGACGAGGAGCAGAGTATCTGTAGGTTGGTATATAGCCAAGAAGTTTGTGGCAATCCCAGTTACGGTACCGTAGTACAGTTTTGATGCCTGCTTCGTTGGGGTTATAGTAGTAGGCTTGCAAAGCTTCGATGGCTGCAAAGAGAAAAAGAAGAGAAGGCATTAGTACAGAACGGCGAAGGAAAATAATTCAACCGAGCAGTGAGCACGGCTTACATGTTGAACCGAAGTTCTTGCTGATGTACCAGCCGGGTACGTTGGCTGATTCATAGTTTCCAGACACCAGAAAAAGTCATCGTCGTGCATATCTTTATTCAGGGTGCCGGTTACTATCTTCTCCTTGCCCGGTCTGATCTTTAGGTAGTAGTTAAGTCCATCGCCTGTATACCCGAGGGTGTACTGGCGAAGTATCTCGGCTAATCCTAGGTTGAGGCCTAGCCGGTTGTTCAGCTTGGCTATCCCGTTAATTATTCTATAGGTGTTGGTTGAAACTTGTGTTGGTGCTAGCTCGGTGCGTCTCAAGAACTCGCACATTAGGGGATTGGCCGGGAAGCGAAGGCCGCCTTCGATAATGAAAAGCACGGTGAAAGGGTATTGGTCTAGTCTGCCCCAGGGGGTTGTGTCCTCGGCACCGAGCTCGAGATGTACGTCTGTGGGGACATCGTATTCTTCTCGGAACGTGGCTAGTGCGACCAGCGTGTCAACCAGGAAGTGGTAACGCCCCATGTGAAGCCGGCTGGTTTTAGCACGGCTGTGTTGGTTTGGCAAATTTTCGTTTAATGGCTGCTCGGCTGCTGAGAGCCTCAGTGTTGGTTTTGGTCCACTAAGACTTTGCAGTAAGAATAAGGGTAAGTGTAAGTGGGAGCGCGGTCGCGCAAAACGAGCTCGACGTTAGCTCGGTCAGATGGAGTGCCAGACCATCTCGATCACAAAGGTAAACCCAGAAGCTCGGCCGCTCAAGCGGACCAGATATTAGCCTGGTCAAGCGGTCCAGCACTCTGTTACCTCGGTTCTTACAGGAGTTTTTGCAAACTCGCAACTTGCTCAGTTTTGGTGTTTTTTGGGATCAAAAGAAGACCTGGAGCCCGGTCCGCCCTAGATCCTTGCGTGTTCATCATGGAAGTTGAAGAACAGTTGAGAGAGAAGGGGCTAGAGGTGGTTTTTGGGGTGCTACATCCTAAAACCTACTACTTTTGTGCCTTACAATGAGAGTTTCAAATGAAAAACAATAGAGAGATTCGAAGGACTTACCAGTTTTGGGGGCAAAAGTCGAATCTTCGAGCACGAAGCCAGTCCAGAGCAAGAATGGTGTTTGGAAGAGAGAATTGCACTGCAGCATTTGGGGCTCCTCGAATGGAAGAGAAACAGTAAGGAGGAAAGAGGAAGGGGCAAATGACGAGCTTATAGAAAGAAAAGAAGCACCAAAAATTCGAAAAATGAAGAGGCGGCGAAGTTGGTTGCTCGAGGCCAATGAGCGGACGACGCGTGTCCCTAATGACGGCGGCGTCAGTACTGAAGAGACAGGATGGCGAGTTGAGGCGTCAACCGAGCAATTCAAGAAACCGAGCATGGGGATTAGCTCGGTTAATGTCTTGTGGGTTTAAGTCAGGCGGAGGACCAACCCCAATCAGATCAAGTAATTCCAGCCACCCTTGTACGAACGGAATTAAGGGGCAATTGTGAGGGAGATTTATATCCTGGCTTTGGGCCATGGTAGAAGCCGGGCAGATAGGTCCGAGCAGGTTTAGGCCGAGCTATTTGGGCTTCTCCAGAGTTGGTTTGTTCGGTCGAGGCCCAGTTCCCATGTTGGGGTCGAGCTAACTTGGGCCTGTCCAGGTTAGGTTTGCTCGGTCGAGTCCCTTCTTCCAAGTTTGGGCCGAGCTAACTTGGCCGAGGTAATTGTCGGCTAACTCGGGTTACGCGGTTCGCGCGTCTAGCTCGGCGGGAAGGGTCTTCCGAACACCAGCTTAATCTGCCTGGAGCTCAGTCGTATCGGGAAGCTATTGAACTAGGTTGTGATGGAGCTCGGCGAGTGGCGCTGTCAGGCTCGTTATATAGCACGGTCATTGGAAGCCGAGGTGATACCGCCGGGCTGCCCCATTCCCGCTAATGTTGTTTGGTGGTTTGATTAGGTGGTGTAAAGCTGAATTTGCGCTGATAGATGGGAGAGCAGCTCCACGTGTCAATAGATGAGTGGGTGCAGAGGTGAACGCAGAAAGTATATAAGCATGACTGCGCCCTCCATACCCGGCATGAAACATCATTTGGTGAGATACAATTTGACATCGATTGAATTTCTCTCTCTCTCTCTGAATGTGTGCTAACTTGACCGTCGGAGGGGTTTTTCGACAACACACCGCCGGGTAGCTCACCGCCGTTGTGTTCTCAGGTCGATCGGATAGATTCGGAGCTTGGACGAAAGAAGTATGGACAGCAACAAATATCTTTTCCCCGTACACATCTCTATACTTTAAGTTTGTAAACTTTTATTATATATAATCTTAACTTTAACTAATTATTCTTGAAATCTTAATAGTTTTTAACTTTCCTTTATTTGTATTTTTGTTAATCTGGGAATTTAAAAATATTTATTAAATGGATTGATGAGATAGGTTTGAAATTGTGAAAAAAAAAATTAATTTAATATTTTTATATAGATTAATGACTATATTAAAAAGTGGCTAAAGTTTAAAAAATCGCACCAAATCTAACTATTTCAATCGGTGTGGTCGGTACAATTTGATAAAAAAAAAAATTATATCAATACTCAAAATAATAAAATCGACATACCGGTTTGTTAATTTCTTTACTTAAATATTGACAGTATTTAATCGATTATATCCTTACTTTTTGGTGGCAATTTTTTGATTAAAATAACTTTTTATTGTCAAACTCCATAAAAGTTTAAAATTGTTTAACAGAATGGAAGAAGAAGCTCAAGTTAACTTGTTGACATCTGGAGCGTAACGAATTGGATTGTTCGTTTTTATAATAAATTAAGAATCCAAATCGATTTCTATGGTTTCGTGTGAGAAATGAGTTAACTTTTTAATTTTTTTTGATTATTTTAATTTGAAGTTAAAAAATTTAATTTGGGAAAGATTTTTGACTTTTTTTTTGACTTTTTTATGAAAAAAGAATATATTAATTATGAGTTAAATGTGATATTTTATTTTATTAAATTAAAAAATTTATTTTATTTTTTTGTAATTATTTTAGTTAAAAAATCTTCACACCCAACTTTCTTTAAGAGTATCTCTAACGGTGAATCAGATTTTTCACCAAATTTGAGTAAAAAATGACTAATTTTATCAAATTTGATACCACTCGCTCCAACGGTGCACTTTTATCAAATTTGTGCCGGGGACAACCGGTTGGTCGACCGGTTAAGCAAATTTTTTTTTTTTTTTTTTTATTTTTTTTTTTTTTTTTTTTGCTTTTTTTTGAACTTTTTGAACCTTTTAGTGGTCAACCGGCTGGTCGACCGGTTAGGCAAAAAATATATATATATATTTTTTTTAACTGTTTGAACCTTTTCTTCGAACCGTTTGAACCTTTAGGCGGTCGACCGGTTGGTCAACCGGCGGGGCAACCGGCTGGTTGACCGGTTGGTCTCTCCTAACGGTCAAGAACAGTGATTTGGTGAAATGCTTCGCCTGTTCTCCCCTGTTCTCGTTTTGGTAAAAGATTTGCTGAATTCTCGATTTGATATCGATTTGGTGAAATCGTTGGAGCTCAAAAAAGTGACTTTTTCATCAAATTTTAAATTTGATACCAAGTTTAATGAATCGTTAAAAATGGTCTAACAAAAAGTGGACCGTAATCAAATCGCTAAATCTATGAAGCTGGACCATAATGGAATTATAAAATTTGATTTGGTTCCACTCAGTTTGATTTGATGGTTCTATAAATTTTATATAATAACAAATATGATATATATATATATATATATATATGTATTATGCTAATAAATAAATTAACAATAATTAATTTTTTAAAATTAATTAGAATTTATCAATTTCACATGGAAGATAAAGACAAAGACTAGTGAGCGTTCAAGTCTTATGAAAAGCTTTTTATATTTTAATTTTTACATATAAAAATATAAAAAAAAAACAAATATCCCATGGAGAACCATAACTAAAGTCTTGTAAATCGAAACCATTTGAACATTTTCATAATTTTCAAAATCAGGACCAAAACTAATAAAAATCAGACAATATCGGCAATTTAGACCGGATTGGACTGGTTTATTGGCCCTACCATTTTTTTTTGTACAGCTAACAATTTCTTTTTTTAAAAAGATAAACATATTATATTTAAAAAATTAAATCATTTATTTTTTAACATAAATATGATAAAATAAAAATATTACGATTATTATTACAAATTATTAAATTGTCCTAATTTTTTTTCTTATGAATAATATATATTGAGAGTATAACAAAATAAACAATTTAAATTATCGGAATGAAACTCATTGTGATTTTAAGAACTTGAAAATTGACTTTTAACAACAAAATATAGAAAAATAAAAAATTTATGTAATAATTTATAATATTTTTTTAACTTTTTAATTAAAGAGTAAATTACAAATATATTCTTAAAATTTATTTAAAATACGAATTATTTCATATGATTTGAAAAATTAGAATACTCCATTGTTAGGATTTTTTTTTGACAAAATTAATTGAAAATTTTGAATTCGTAAATACTCTCTTATATAATGATAAAATTACATGAATTATTGGTTGAAATAATTTTTGTAACATAATTAAAAACTATTAATTAGCTTGATAATTTATTAATAAAAAAGAATCAGTTGTTATAAAATTAAAAATTTCAACAAGCAAGATATAACTTTTAAAATCACATAATGCAAATGGTGTTTTAAGTAAACTTTCTAATTTACCCTTAATTAAAATGTTTGGTTTTCAAACATGCCCTAAGCTTATTGATGGCACTAGCCTGATGGTCTCGTTTGGTATACCTGTTAAAATAGATTATAGGTTATAACTTAACAGATTATAAATTATGATTTTAATTAAAAACTGTTAATCTATTTGGTGTACCTGTTGGGTTATAAATTTAAGTTGCTGAGTAATGTTTGTTAAATAAGTTGTGAAGTAACTTTTTTAATTAACTTTTATTTTTTGTTATTCACTACTTGTCTACATTTTCCATAAATAATAATAATAATAATAATAATTTATAATCTATTTAGATCTTTTTCTATTTTTAAAAAGATAAAAAATAAAAAAATCTAAGAGTATAACTGTAAATTAACATATTTACAACAAAAGTTAATAATCAGAAATAAGGGATGGACAATTTCTCAAAATCAATTTTTTTAAGTTAAAATAAATTCTTAAAATTAGAAACGATTTAAAATAGGGCAAATTACAAACACCCCCTTGTGGTTTGGTAAAAATACAGATTCTCCTTGAGGTTTGAGAAATTATAAATTACCCCATGAGGGTTAAATTTTCATAACAAATTAGAAAAAATTAGGAAAAATCTGTATGAAAATAAAAACTTCAAGAAATAATTTATTATGAAAATATAAATCTCAAGAGACAGAAAAATAAAAACCTCAAGAGATGGGAAAATATAATCCTCAAGAGAAAAAATATAATTTCTCAAATTTTAATTTTTTTTTTATATTTTTACCAAATTTGTTTGTAATTTGTCCTTTAAAATAAGTTTAACCAATCGACCTATAATAATCTTTCAAAAGTTAGAATTATAAATTGACTCAAAAAAGCGCAATGACAACCCCACGCCCACGCAAAACCCTCAAAACCCCCAAAACACAGTGAAGTCAGAACCCACAAAAATCACCAGAAATACTTTCACAAAACAAAATCGAAACAAAAACAAAGAAACAATCTATTATTTTTTAGTATTTTTATTTTTTTTCTCACAAGTTCACAAGATTTGCCATAAACAACCCTAAAACCTAGTCCTTGGATTCTGTGTAACAGCAGAGAGACGAAAATGAAAGCATCAGGAGACGATGGACCTCCGAACAGAGAGCTATACGCTCTGCTACACGTATCCACTGAAGCCTCCGACGAAGAAATCCGAAAGGCTTATCGCCAATGGGCCCAAATCTATCATCCTGACAAATACCAAGCTCCCGAGGCAATCCTCTCTCTATTCACACTATGTTTGAATTGAATTATTACAGTTTTTGAGTACAGTAATGTTGGTGGCCCACGGCTCGAATGACTTGAATGTGCCAAAACGGCTTCATTTTGGGATAAAATGACATCATTTTGAGATAAAATGACATCATTTTGATATCATTTGGGCAAAAAATATTTTTCTTTTGAGTGTTACAATGTTTGAACTGCATTTTAGGATGATTATTTTGGGTAGTGTAGTATTGGGTGATTCATTGTGTAAATAGATGAGCAATGCTATATATATATAATTACATTTCTTAACCCATTTTTCTCACTCTTAGACACGAAGCAATGAGACCCACATTCATAAATGGATATGAGAGCCACTCACTTGTGTCTTGGAGTGAGAAAATGATGTAAGAAAATGGATTTTATATAGCAATTTTTTTTATAGATGTGTTTGTTAAGTGTTTGGGTTTCGAGCTTTGTTTGGCTAGTGTTTTAGTTTAATCTACAATGTGCCAAAATGGCAATGCAAAAGGTAAATTTTGGTGCCGAAATGCCATAAAATTCTAGTGGTGCAAGTGGTATTTCTTTAATTTAGTCACCAAAAGTTGACAATAAATGTCATTTGTCGACCCATCACTAAAGAGGTAAAAGAGAAGACCTGTTGCTAAATTTGACATTTTGCCAAACTTGGTGCCAAATTTATTTAATTAAAGAAACAAATGAATTTTCAGTTGTGGTTTTTGTTATTTTTTTTTTTTAAATACAAGAAAGGAAAACTGTTTGTAAATACTCTTCTAAGCACAATAGGCTTTCTAGTTGTTTCATTTTTATAGTCAAGCACATCAAATAATTTAATTTGCGAATGGGCTAATTCCAAAATTGCCCAATTCACTTTTTTTGGTTTTGAGGTTATGGGTTCGAATCTAAGGACAACCACTTTGTACAAATTATGCCAAAGATTTGGTTTGTACTCAATCTACTTTTCCTAGACCACCATCCAGTGGGGCATACAATTAGAAGTGGATTACTCGTGTAAAGAAGTTATGCTGTGGACTGAAGTTATTGTTAAGAGAAAATAAAGTATGGTTGTTAGTTTGATAAATAAAATAGGATAATATGTAAAACAGATAGGAGATTTCTAGAACGCCTCAAATTTGCATACATTTAGAGAAGAGCAATTGCAACTTACATAACTATCTTTCCATCAAAGCAATCCTCCTAAATTTATGAGAAATCAAGCAAGATGGTCCAACTTGTTATAAAAAATTCCAAATGAGGACAACATATGTTATTCAACCCCTTAAAGAAACCAACATGGATTTCACATGTCTATTAGCCCTACGGGATACTATCCATATTATTTGTTGTGTGCCGTGATGTGTCCATGAGAAATCTCCCATGATAGTATACACAATTTTGCTTTTCTTTGTTTGAAACACTGGCTTTTATTTTAGTGAATTATAGCTCAATCCCTTTTCAGAGAGAAATCTTTTCAAACAAAGTTCTGGCTTTTATTTTAGTGAATTATAGCTCAATCCCTTTTCAGAGAGAAATCTTTTCAAACAAAGTTAATGAAAGATGTTCCCAAAGAAATCACTTCAAGTTCTTTTTTTATTTCTAGTTTGGTTTTTCACCATTTTTTTTTTTTGTGCGTGTGTGAGAAGTCTTATTGTCATTATATTTACTATTGTTTGAAGTTTCCGTTGTGCTATGTCTTAATAGGATAAACAATGTAGATTTATAGGAATTAGTGTTATGTTGCATTTCTTTTATTATCTTTAAATTATATATTGATATATATAACATATAATAGATATATACAACTACATATTTTGTGTGTATTCTCCACATGTTGTGTCTTGTTGAAATTATCGTATTGGCATGTCTGTGTCCGTACGTCTTAACATCTGAATATAAGGACTTGCATGTCTTATCAGATATGTATTGCTAGTTTCTCAAAGTTCTTTTATGGCCAAAACTTTTACCTTGTGGTTTCATTTGATTCTTGAGTTTATTTTCTGATTTGAATTTAAAGTAAACAGCTAAATTTTTTATTACATGGATAATTTCCAGATGCAGGAAATTGCTACAGAAAACTTTCAACGGATATGTGAAGCCTATGAAATTTTATCTGATGAGAAAAAAAGGCTGATATATGACATTTATGGGATGGAAGGTTTGACTTCAGGTTTGGAACTTGGTCCTAAACTGAATAAAGCTGAGGAGATTAAGGAAGAACTAGAAAGATTACGTCGTAGGAAGGAACAAGAAAAGGTCTCAGCTCATGTCCAACCTTCTGGTTCAATTCTGGCTAATTTGTCTTTCCCGCAGTTTCTAAACGGTGGTGGCATCATGAGAGGGTATAGCTTATTTTATTTTCATTGCTTCTTTTTGTTTGATATATAATCTAGATAATCATAATGTTATGCATCATTGGTTGGTGATGGAATCATGACAGGGTACAGCTTATCATAATGTCCTTGCTCCTTTTCTCTGAAGTACAATTTAGATAATATTATGCATTGTTGGTAGCTATCTTCTTCATGACTAGGGAAATGGATTTTCCACATGGAATTAAAAGTGAACATTGTGCCACTGTACATGTATTTTATGGTGTAAGGAAAAAACTGAGAAATACTACATTCCCTTTAGATAATTACAAAAAATTTCTCTTTTTTTATTATTGAAAATGAGCTCCAAACTGAGAAGTTTTGCACCCTCGTAAGTGGTTCAATTTTTATTTTATGTTACATGGATACATCTAAATGTACCAAATATCTGTGTTGCACACTTGACACCTAGGAAGCACGAATACGGATACGGATACGACACGATACGGATACGGCGATACGACAAAATTTGAAAAATTAGGATACGGGTACGGCGGGGATACGTTCATAAAAAATATTATTTTAACAATTTTTAGTAATGCAGTATGCATAAAAATAAAACCTAAAGCAAAAGATTACTTGATAAAGAAGAAAAATTCCTATAAAACTAAGAGTCTTCAAGGTCAATAGCTTCAACTTGTTCCCCTTCATCAGTGAATATCACAGACCTTAGCTAAAGCTAAAAAACCATTCTTAAATAAAAATTTCAGCAAATATACTTTTTGAAGTCATCAATAATAGCCTAGGAAGCACGGATACGGATATGGTGATATGGGGATGTGGATATGGCGATATGTCAAAATTTGAAAAAGTATGATACAGGTACAGCGGGGATACATTCGTAAAAAAAAGAAAATTATAATTTTAATAATGTAATATGCATGAAAATAAAACTTAAAGTAAATTTATAAATAAAAAGAGGGATTCCTATTAACCTAAAAGTGCTCAAACATTCATAAAACATCCAAAACTAAAAGCAAAAGCAAAAGCAAAAGCAAAAGCAAAAGCAAAAGCAAAAGCAAAAGCAAAAGCAAAAGCAAATGCAAATTAAACATCATCCTTACATGCCAACGCCAAAAAAAGAATGAGAGCAGAGAGAAGAAACGTGAGAGAGTGAGAAAGCGAGAGAGAAGTGAGAGAGACAACAAGGATACATCAATTTGACATTATCGTAATGTCCTTGCTCCTTTTCTCTGAAGTACAATTTAGATAATATTATGCATTGTTGGTAGCTATCTTCTTCATGACTAAGGAAATGGATTTTCCACATGGAATTAAAAGTGAACATTGTGCCACTGTACATGTATTTTATGGTGTAAGGAAAAAACTGAGAAATACTACATTCCCTTTAGATAATTACAAAAAATTTCTCTTTTTTTATTATTGAAAATGAGCTCCAAACTGAGAAGTTTTGCACCCTCGTAAGTGGTTCAATTTTTATTTTATGTTACATGGACACATCTAAATGTACCAAATATCTGTGTTGCACACTTGACACTTGGGTAGTGTCCAACATGTATAGCTGGATATTCACCTAACAAACATATTTGTAATTTGAGTTCATAAAATTTTGCATAGAACTCTCATATTACGCATGAATTGCTTTATGACACCTTTTTAACACTTTTATACTGTAGACAATAAAAGAAGTATATTAATAAATATAAATATAAATATATTTCTCCGTCCTTGTGTGCCCATGTCTTGAGACAAGGAATTAGATGAATCAGATACTTCAACACACACGTGCACTGGATACTCATAGCCCTGTCCAAGTAACATAGTTTTATTTTCATTGATTATTGAACAATTGCTCTGTGTGCGTGTGATACCATTAATACTTATTCATGTTAATTTGCTTCTAATATAATATGCTTGGGGAGCATCTAAGCTTTTCTTTGACTAACCAAACCAAAATAAGCCTCGGCTATATGAATATTTTTTTCGTCATTCCGCTATGTCAAGGGGAATATGCTCAGTTAGATTAAATAAATTGTACGAAAAGTGAACATTCATATTCGTATCTCATCAAAATTTCTTTTTTGCTTCATCTTGCTTGCTTCCGAATTGGTTTTGTCCCTTATTCTTTTTGAAACATAATGATGGTGGTGTTACTGCCATGCCTTAATTTGCTTGGACTTTAGAATACTCACGATCTGTATATCCTTGCATTTACCAAAGAATGTTAATACACTTTAAAATGCGTGAAGGTTCTTACAATGTTCTTTCCGATAATAATTAGTTACCATTGCATTCTTTTATCATTTTGAAGCATTACGATAAACTTCCTATCTAAATTGCATTGTCTTGGATGTCTTCTAAAGGAATGAGGTTCCATGCACGTAAAGATTGATTAATTTATAATTCTATTATTTCATCTTATTCAATTGTGTTCATCTACATAAATTTCAGAATGGCAATGTCAAGTGAAGTCCAGTCTGAAATATCCAAGCAGAATGCTATTGTTATTGGTGGAAATCTGGTAGTTAATGATAATTCTGGTGGTGGTGCTGCTACTGCTGTGCTTAGGCACCAGATGTCATCAGTTTCCTCCATAGAATTCATGGCATCTGCTGGTTTACGTGCATTGGTTGGTGTGCAAACATCTCGGTAGGAAAATTGCTTCTGTAAGTCAGTTTGCTATCCCAGCTTTCCTCCCATTTGACTAGCTTCACTCCACCTTTTGCTTGTGTCTTTGTTCAGCCACCTATCTCTGCACTCCACTGCAACAACAGGTGTTGCCGTTTCTTTACGAGATGGTTCGATTAATCTTTCCAATTCCTGGACTCGCCAACTCTCTGAGACATCGAGTGGAAATGTATGCTGTTTGGCCTTCTTTGTATCTTATTGGTTTTTGGCTTCTGTAGAACATAATGCGTAAACAATTTTAAAGCAGTAGTGGTATGGACACAGTCATGCAGGAAATTGCTGATAAACTAAAGAAGCTTTGAATTTTTATGTAATTAAATGCTATTTGGTCTCAGTTTTTCCTTAATTTATTCTGTATTCTAAGCCAAGGAAAATTATGTTTTAAAAAAAAAAAAAAAAAAAAGCTGGAAAAAAAATGACTTAAGCTGGTAAAAGGATGACTTCTTAAAGTATGAAGGATTACCAATGAAAAAGAGAAACGTAAATATCATAGACCAGGCTTTCTTTTGCTAACAGAAGGCATGAAAACATTTGGGGTTTACATAAATCAGTTTCTACAGATGCTAAGATTTTTGCCTGTATTTGGACTTTTTTCGCTCCCTTTTTCCTGCTTCCAGATACAGCTTGCTTTAGGTCCAGAGTCATCTATAGCTGTTGGATGGCAGAAGAAAGAAGAGAAAATGTCTGCTGCTGGAGAGATTAAGGTAGATCTACTTTTCCTCTTTGAGTGAAAATTGTCTTTCAGGAAGGGTTGAATGTTTTTAATTGCGATTATCTTGTGGAAGGACACATTTATATCCTGTGTTACACATAGATTTTTTATTGTTTTTCCACCCTTGTTGTAGATACCATAAAGCTTTTATGCACACTGACATACTTCAAATACTTCACGTTCAATGTACTGCAGTTTGGCACAAGTTCATTTGGAGCATCAGCTCATTATACTCATCACTTCTCTGCAAAGTCTCATGGGCTTATTGCAGGCAGTGTTGGAAGGTATGTTCAATTGTATTTATCCGGATATCAAGTTTTTGGACTTGGAAGCTTCTCTGAAATCCTGTATTTTGTAAGATACAATAATGGAGATTTGAATTAATTCGTTCGATTGTTTGTCTATTATTTTACTTAGGTTTTACTTAGATGATTCTTCGTTACAAGGTGTTATTTCTTTTCCTGGACTTTGTTGCTGGCATGATTGGATGCCTTTTGTAGCCTGTTAGAAAATTGACAACTAGACATTAAGAATGCAAATTAGCTTTGCTGATATTGATGTATGGCTGATCAAAGGCTGACTCCATGAATCTGTAACAGCTGAATAGCCCGGAATCAATAGACATAAATGATAAATGACCTAAATTATGTTGACTGTTGTTATGGTCCGCCACCACAACAATTTGCTGACAATTAGAGGTTGCTAATGTGTTTACTGATTCTTCTCAATTGGCAGCATAATTTTCCTTTTATTCTATATGCACAAGAAATGGGCAGATGTAATTTACCTTGTGTAGCTGATAAATCATTTTCTGACTTCTTTTACCACAAACCTGTATGAAAAGTCTATTTGGAGTTGCTTATCCCAAAAAAAAAAAGTATATTTGGCATCCTGTAGTATGTCTCCAGCTTAGGCATGGGACTGTTTGTGTGAATATCAGTTACCTTGTCTACCTGATAAATCATTTATCAATTCTTTTACAACAAACCTGTATCAGTAATCTATTTGGCATCCTGTAGTCTGTCTTCAGCTTAGGCATGGGACTGTTTGTGTGACTCCACTCTGAGTTAATGTGGTGCTCTTAGTCAAACACATTCAGTTAGCAAGTTTGATTTTTTATATTGGAAATATGTACACAAAGGTGGAGTTTATAGGGGGAGGTGCAAAAAAGTACCAACGATGATGGTCTTTAGTTAGAGTGGTTATCCTTTAGGGGCTTTACCTTTGTGATGCAAGATGATCCTCAATTAAATATTCCACTGAATTTACCATGCATTTCATTCAGAAAAAGTAAATTGTTATTAGTACAACTTTATGCTGATATATTTTTTTTTATTGAAATTCACTTTATATACTATTGTGCTGTCATCTGATAGTGAAAGAGCCCATCCTCATGGTATCTTCGATCTTTAAGTGTGAGCAACCTCAAGACTTGCTTGTTAAAAGACAACATAGCATGCTACCAAATATTTTGACCAACTTTCGTAGTGTCTATATAACTATGCAATTATTCCTATGTGCAAGTTAGATTGTTCTCCTCTGACTTTATACATCACTTTTCAGCACTACTCTTGAGATTGAAGTTGGAGGTGGAAGGAAAATATCTCAGTTCAGCACTGTCCGCATGTTGTACTCAGTAGGAATTCAGGTACTTGCTGCAATGCAGACAAAAGATGACTTGTCTTTTCTCCATTGACACTTGTTTCTTCATATGCTCTTGTTTCTACTATGGTAAAAAACCATGGTCTTTAAATCAGAATGAGCAATATCTGCAAATGTGTCAAGTATGGAATACCAGAACAATTCTCAGGAAATTGTCTAAATGTTAATGCTTCTGTGTAAATTATCAAGGAAATACTTACTAAAAACTGCCTTTAGCCCAAGAATGGCTAAAAATAGTAATTGGAACTGGAATTACTATCCACATATTTTGATAGCCTGTTTCACAGTTCAACATGTAAGTTGAGTCAGCTGCCCTGATTGCATTGTAATTTGTAACATTTGAATATTAAGGGTCAAAACTTAACCTGTTATAATGTGTCTGCTCAGTTTTGTTTGGGATTATTCTCACTTAATTGTGGAGAGTTTAAATCTTTCTATCACCAAGCTTTTTTTCTTTTATAATGTATGATTGAAACTAGTTGGGATTTGGTTAACGAGTTTATTGTTTCAACCTGTGCTTAAGGTTATATTTTTTTATTTGTTTTTTTGATGAGTCAAATATCATTGACAAAACACCAATAGGGGTTGAACAGTTGTACACTCGAAAGCCTGAGGTCAATGTACTATGCCAAAAGGGGGCAAACAGTGGTACAAGTTGCTACTGTACTGATGGGTGTCTATTCCTCAGCGAACCATGAATCTTTGTAACCGTATTTGTTGATTATCACTAGGTTCCAAAGCACAATGGGGAAGTGGTGTGTCATACTCAATGGAATTGAACATACAGCATCGTAGTTGCGTTACATTTTTTTAATGATAGACTATGCTGACTTTGGTATGTAATCCACCAAAACCATAATGTGACGTCCATTACTTGAAGTTTCTGATAAGGGCTGTAGGGCATGCACTGTGGAAGAGTAAACTGATAATACTTAATTATTAGTCAACAAAATGGAAGATATATTTGTTGGCTTTTTTGCCTCTTGTCATCATTCATGTATTGCTTTTATTGTTGCATATTTTATGTTGAACGGGCTTGCGTATGCTGTTTTCCTTTAGGTTTTAATTGAAAATGGTTCTAAAATCTTCTTGTGCTGTTATGATGGTTGCAATCACTAATTCTGTGCAGCTTCATTGAAACTTGTATTTGATACGACATATTGTTCTGTGATTTTTTTTTTAGACAAACTTTCCATAGATTAGATATCCTCGAATTGTTATTATCTGGAGTTCATCTGGACTTATTCCATTTTATGTAGTGATTTTTCTTTATATATATATATATATTGTTTTGGTTGTATCTCACGTTCTTCCAATTATTGGTAGGGTATTTTTTGGAGATTTGAACTACATCGTGGGGGCCAAAAATTAATCGTTCCTGTAAGTGCAATCTCATGCTTTCACTTGTATTGGTCCCATAAATTTTGCTTATAACTAATTGAGCAACAATTTTCCATGTTTACTCGATCTGTTCTATATGGAAAAGGTTTGTGTGTTTTATATTTTTATTAATGGACCTTTACTGCTTAGTTTCGGATCTCATCATTGGAAAGTTCTCTCTCTTAATTTCTTTCTGTTTTGGCATCTGCCTTAGGTCAAATGTTATTTATGGTGTGCTCTTCTTCAAATAGAATCTTCACATTAACAATCTACTGAGAGTGATCATGATCTTGATCTGTGACACAAGAACACAATCAGAAGACTCTACATCTTTGGGACAACCAGAAAGGGAGAATAAATGGAAATTTGAGCCACTTGTGTGTTTTTGTGATTTGCTTGAATGGTGATCTCTAAGCAGTTGAACCAGTCCTTAGTTATTGCATCCATTTAATATTGTGATTTAGGCACATGCCTAATTTATGTTAGGTACATGCTGCCTATGTTTTGAGGGTTCGTGTCAGCGAATAATACATAACTATTTTATGTCAGAGAAAGAACTAAAGCTTTATAATGAAGTCAAGTCAATCGTGTTTTTATTTCAGAAGTACCAGCATCTCATATAAATTTGTGTACATGATTGTGATACTGTTAATTCATTCTATGCTTTTGCTTTGGGTTTTTGATATTGTTCATGTGCTACGGCATGCAGATACTGCTTTCCAGGCATTTGAATGCTGTGATTGCAACTGGAGCACTTGTTATTCCAGCATCAATTTACTTTCCACTCAAGGTTGTCAAGGAATGTCCAATTTTTGACTTATGTCCAATCTGTCTAGTTGTTAGTAATTTGGTGTTCTCATTCTTAATTCCTCTTTAATAACTTGCATATAAATAAATATTTTCTTGTTAATGCTTCTTGAGATGGCCTATGAAACACTCAATTAACTAGGTTCGGTAATTAAACACCATATACATCTTTAGGAAAAAATGAGAGTTGAAATGCAATCATGCAATTTCTAGCATATCACACAGGTCAGAATGAGTAAAGACTTCCAAAATGTTTTCCAATGTGCATGTCTGAAGGCAGAAATACAGTTGGCTGTAGTAAAGCATAAAAGGATTGAGAGCATTGCGTAAAATTATTTTTTACAAACAAGTAGAGAATGAGTTGTGTGCCTATATGACTTTCGTGTCTATATGCTGATATGTATAAGCATCTTTGCTTGTACCATTTGCTGATGAGATTTGACAATAAGGGCTGGTTGTTATTCTTTTCTGAGCTCTTTAAATGCTGCTTTGGGATCTATATGGTTAAGCAATACTCACTTGAGAATGAGTTGTTAATGGCTTTTAAATTTTTATGCCTTCTTTGACTAGAAAATTCCATATTTTTCTATTGAATTTTAATCCTTTTGGTATGTTCACAGACATTCATTGTAAAACCTTATTACCTTAAATGGGAAAAGCATGAAGTGTTGGATAATATGAAGAGGACTGCAGCTCAGGTATGTTGCTTGTACCATTTGCCGATGAGATTTGACAATAAGGGCTGGTCGTTATTCTTTTCTGAGCTCTTTAAATGCTGCTTTGGGATCTTTATGGTTAAGCAATACTCACTTGAGAATGAGTTGTTAATGGCTTTTAAATTTTTATGCTTTCTTTGACTAGAAAATTCCATATTTTTCTATTGAATTTTAATCCTTTTGGTATGTTCACAGACATTCATTGTAAAACCTTATTCCCTTAAATGGGAAAAGCATGAAGTGTTGGATAATATGAAGAGGACTGCAGCTCAGGTATGCAATACCCCATGTCTAAGATAGTCCTGGTTTTCCTATTTTTTTCTCTTAGAAGGAACTTCATGATCACTGAAATTAGAGTTAACGGGAAGGAAAGTAAATCAAATAAGAAGATAAGGAACGAGAGGTGGTTCCATGATTCAGCGGGTAAAGGAGATCACTATGAAGAATAAAAGGCATCTCCCAAGTGGTACCATTTGGGAATGATCCGTATCAATTAGTACGAAATCCTACAGCAAGAAGGAAGCAATGCATGATAGGGAATGTAGTAGAAGAGAAATGTTCTTTGAAAGTGGCCCACCATCCCCCATTTGGGAACTCTTTTCTATCCTTGCCCCTTGCAGGCTAGAGCCATGGAACTGAAGGCAGATTCTTTAGTTGCTTATGACTTGGTCCTAACCAAGCAAAGGAAATCTGAATATGGATGAAGAAGCAAGGCCTCGTTTAGATTGACTGTTGGCAGATCGAGATTAAAAGCCAGTAGCAACAAAGTGCTTTCATTATGTAATACCCCATGCCCAAGATAGTTTGGTGTGCTTGCTCTTTTCCTTGATAAAAAATGATATACCAATAATCAAGGCGGCATACCCCCTGATACTGGCCAAAACCAGCAAACAGAGGCTAACAGGGACAAGGAAAAAAGAACGTAACAGATCATGACACAACACAAAGATCCAGCAGAAACATAGAAAAATCTGGACACCAAACACTAGGTGGGATTGTCCTGGCCTGGTCTTGGTGACCTCTCATTGTGGCTAACAACCAGGGCTTGAGGGTTGTTCTCAACATCTTTGACTCCATTGGACTTCAACCTTATATTTCTAGTGATATTATTTTGAATTGAATCTCTGTCCTAATAGCTGTTGCTGAACATTCTGCGATTTGTTGCACCCATATTCAGGAGGCCCATGGGGCCCAGGAGGGGCAAACTTTTTATGTATTTCCCTGTTTTGTGTAGGTTAGGGAGGCAAGGGCTGCAGCTGAGAAAGCTCAGCAGTTGTTACAAAATGTGGCCAATAGGAAAAAGAGCAGGCAACTAGAAACGGGTGGACTGGTAATTGCAAAAGCAGTTTATGGAAGTCAAAATGCTTTGAAGAAAAAAGATGAAGTGGGAGAAACAAAAGATGAATTAGCTTCACAAGTCATAGATGTCACTTTACCTCTAAATTTCCTGGTCAATGATTCTGGGCAGCTTAAGGTACTTCTCTTTCATATTTGAAATTTTGATTATCTTCTCTGTATAGTTTATGTGCCGAGGATTTAATACATTTCCAAATTTAGTACCATTGATATTAAAATTAAAATGTTCTAATTAACGAAAAGTGCAGTACTTTAAATGCAAGATTTGATATTTTTTTGTCAATTTTTTACAGTGCATACTCTAAAGGCCATTTATTGATATAGTTAGTCACATGATGGAATATTGTTATTGGAGACTTGCAAACTGGACAAGAAACAGCTGTGGAATAAGTCTACCAGAAATATTTTTGTATGTCATATCTGGGAGAAGATGCTAGAAATTAAGAAAGCAAAATTTCTAGCCTTTCTGTTGGTTCTCTGTAATGGTTGCTAGCCTGCTATAGAGAGATCAACCACTCAAAATGGATTCCCATAGTACTAGCCCTACAGATATCATTTTAGATTTAGGGAATGCAACAGCATAATAGTGAGGAATCGTTGATCTATTGTTGTACTCATTGTTTGGCTTGCTAGTTCTCCACATGTGGTGATGTTTACAATTGAATGAAAAAAAGATTATGAACTGTTTAAATGTTGGCTTGCAATCTAAGCCAAATATCTGCACAAAATTTGTTCAACTTCCTGAAAAAGGAAAAGAAAAGAAAAAATACAATGAAATAAATTTGCTTGCATGTACCGTAACTGATCTCTTGATTAATAATCCAACTTGAGATTGGCTGCTCCGCTTTGCCTTACGTGGTGTTTGTGGAATGAGAAGGACTAGGAAGTCTTTTGAAGATTTGGAGAATTATGTTTTGTGTTTGAAAGGGACAGTGCTTGTCTCCTTATATTTTTGGTTTAGGGAGACAATTCCTTTTTCCCTAAGCCATTATTTAAATATAATTTTTTTAATTAATTAATTATTTTTTATTTTATTTTTTTTGTATTTGTCGTGTGTGTAGGTTACTGTGAAGTGAAGTCCCACATTGCCTGAGAACTAAAATAATGTTAAGCACATAAGCGTAAGGGCACCCTCACCTCAATGGCTAGCTTTTGGGGTTGAGTTCTACCTAAGACCGTGTAATAGTTACACCCCCCTTGTTGCCGATTTATTTACTAAAATTATTCAGTAGTCCCAGAGTACCAACTTTGCGCACTGATCAATAAGAGCACTAGTCACGGGATGGGTGGAGATGACCTAACTCACCTTGGTTGGTTGGCTGGGAGACAAGGATAGCCCCATCCATCTGTGTGATCCAATTGGTTGGGAGCACCAAGTGCACATATCACGGCGGTGTTGACTATTGAATTATTTTCCCTTTCTCTAATAAAATTTGACTTGTCAAATTTTTTTTTTCCAACTTTTGATTCCTCATTAGCTTGTTGCTTAGCCTTTGATTTTTCAATGTATTCAGGATAAGTTTTTAAGTAGCTTATTTTACGCTCCATGAATACAATATATACATATTCTAGAGATCTGTTGGAAATTTCTATAATCTTCAACTTGCACTATTTTTGTGCAGCTCCATGAGGGTGTGAAGAAGTCAGGTATTATGGGCTTCTGTGATCCTTGTCCTGGAGAACCTAAGCAGTTGCGTGTGGAATACACTTGTCATGGAGAGATATATGATGTACAACAATTACTTCTCTCTCTCTCTCTCTCTCTCTCTCTCTCTCTCTCTCTCTCTCTGTGTTTGTCTCTACAAATGTATGTTGATTGAGGACTAACGCATGCTTGGTTGAATCTTAAACAGGTGGTGGTTGATGATTATGAAGAATTGTTAATACCCCAGGCAGCGCACAAAATCTGAATTCCATACAAGATTCTGAACATAGAACTTTGATTGCCTCGTTCAATTTTGCATGTTTCACCATGCCTCTTGAGGTATCCTTAATTAAATCATCCCCTTCCCCGTTTTCTCTTTTTGATAATTTGATTTTTGTGTTATATGTTGTCCGAAATTGTAGAAAAAAAATGAAGGCATTGAGAGAACTAATTATTGATTTTGACAGTGTGGGTACTTGTATCAAGCCCAATATGTAGCAAGCCCTACAGGTGCCACATCACCAAAACCCCACCCACGTGGCAGACCAATAAGGCACCACATGGCATGTCATATATTTGATACATGGCGAGTCCTACGGGCGCCATGTGCTAAGGTACTACGCAAAACCAAGACTATATGCTTAGCCTAAGTAGGAGCATACATATAAGCCCAAATATATCTAAATATGAAGAGCCCTGCAACAAGAAGCACCATAGCCTCACAGGGCCATGGTCCTTCATACCTTGCTCTAAGACCAAACAACAATACAATCAGCCCCCGGTTTATTTGGACTTGGATTGATAAACACTGGCTCTCCTAAATATTAAGATAGGCCTGCGGCTCATTCTCCTATTTGGTAGCCTAGAAGCGAGCCCTCTCCTAAACATTGAGATAAGCCCATTCTCTTATTTGGTTGCGTGGAAGCAAGCCCCTGGCTCTCCTAAACACTAAGATGGGCCCTGACCCATTCACTTACTTGGATGCCTAGGTTGGGAGCAGGACCGAGGCACTACTGCTCGGGATCATCAGAGGATACTGGACTGGCGGCTGAGGTCATGGGATTGTCGAGATGGTTGTCTTCTTGCTGAGACAACTCCATCTTGACCAAGCTTGGGGAAGAGCCAACAATGACCTTACATTCATGTCATCCAATGCATATACGAAATGTTACTTTCCGTCTGCCATGAAACGTTGCTCTCTGGCTGCCGTTAACCCACGGACGGCAGAAGGGCTTATATCACTTTTGGCGGAGTTGAGAAGAACGAGCTACCTTTCCAACAGTTTGCTTGGGCGCCAATACTCCTATTGCCTATATAATGTATCGTTTATGCAGCGAGACACAACAACAATACAACCAAGTCTCATGTTTAAACACCCTTTATCACACTCTACATTAGTGTTCAAGGTCTATCACTGCCAACTCCTCCCTTTCCAAGCTTACCTTGACCTCTTCCTCTCAACCTCCGGTGATCTCAGGCCATTGAAGTGCCTGCCATCTTCCTGGACTACCTCTAACCACCTCTCACCCACATTATACTCTGCTGGGGAAGAGTGGTGCTCACTTCACATGGCACCCAAAAAGAACATTGGAACAGGAGCAGTGACATCCCAAGGTGGCGATAGGGAGACCCTGGCGGAGACCTCAGAACACAACTCCGGCGGTTCTCCAGAAGAACAATCCTCTTAACCAGCCATAGCGAATCAGTTACATATATTAACCGAGAGCATCACCTCTCTTCAACAGAACTAGCAACTCTTAATGGATGCCCTACTAGCCTTACAAAGGGCACCTACACTTCCATCATCATCTAACCCCCTTTCATTATCACAAAATGGCGCTTCGCCATTAGCCCAGAACGGTTCAGAAGCCAACCCCGCTCCACAAAACAACTTGCAAACCCAAGTGGGAGGACAAATAGTCGCTCCGCTCCCTCCATTAGCTCCCAGCCAAATACCTCCACCACAAGTTGGATCCATTAGCGGAGCTCCCACCGCAGTGGCTTCGACTGGCTCTCCAGCTCTTCTGCTGGATTAACCCCCTTCCCAACCATCAACACTGGATGTAGTAAAAGAGCACATATACAGCCTACTCCAGACGAACAAAGGTCACATCCCTGCCTCTCCAGAATCGGACCTTCGTCCCCCTTACCCTATCCACATTGCAAGTCTTCCATATTCGGTAGGATATATAGTACCCAAGTTTGTCCGTTTTGACGAACGAAAAGGGAATGCCAGGGAGCATGTTTCACGTTTTCTTGACGCTCTTGGAGCTCACCGAGAGGACCGAAACCTTCACGTGAGAGAATTCTCCAAGTCCCTCACAGATCGAGCATTCTCATGGTACGCCAATCTCGCCGCTGGCTCTATCTCTTCATAGGAGGACTTGGTAAAAAAGTTTTATATCAAGTTCTTCTACGTTGAAGAAAGGTTAACTGCCCTTCATCTTATGAGGGAAACACAACGACTTGGGGAGGACATCCTTGTTTACGTCTGCCGCTTCAGGGAAAAAGCGGTAGACATTCAAGACCCGATGGAAGAACACTAACTGGTGTCATTGTGCATTGAATGGATGCTCACGACTTAGGGCTATTTTGGGAAGATGGTTATAATCAACTTTTTGGTTAAAAACTGATTATAATCAGCTTTTTGTAAGAGAGGGAAGTGGGTTATAATCTGGGAAGTGGATTATAACCCACTTCCCAAAAGACCCCTTATAAACTCCAGTTGGTTAACCACCACTTCCCAGACTTTTCCGCTCTATGTGTTGTGGCCCGAAACATAAGTGAAACAGTAAGATCAGGGGCACGAATGACAGCATCACAACCCCACTTATGGTGGCCAACGGCTCCTCAACGTTCTTCATGGAGGCCTAACCGATGCAACCACGTTGTATACGCAACCGAAGGCTCCTCTAGAGGAAGAGGAGACCTGCAGGCAAAAAAGAGAAAGTTTTATCAAATTCCCCCGCCGCTACCTATCTCAGTGGACAAGGCACAAGCACTGCTCAATGCCTGGGTAGAAGATAGAAAGGTTTACCTCCCCGAGCCAAGGCGACCTATCACCAAAAAGGATTTAGTGCGGACAGACTATTGCATATACCATCGTTCCATCAAACATCCTACTACGGAATGTTGGGCACTCAGATCCCTAGTTTGAAAAATGATGTCTGACGACGCTTTGGAGTTACCCCGCCAAACAGAAGATGTCTTGAAAGATTCTCTCCCGTGCCACAAGGATAACGGCAAGACGGTCATGATGCTTTCGCATTATGACGAGATGGAAAAGCCGATGGTGTGTGAGCTCTCTGAACTCGCAGCTCCCACTTGTCCAGACTTTGAGACCAGGCGTGTGATAGCGCTTAAGAAATCGACAAAGTTCAAATGGTTCTTCGACCAATTCGGCCAGTCTGAAGCAACACGCTTTGAAGCCACCAAGGCCTTTTTAAGACTTGCGGAGCAAAATGGTGAAGCATGCATGAGTGTAAACGGATTCGTAAGGAAAGTATTTTGGGATAACTCCTTGGTGATAACCTTTTCCGAGGCAGACAAACAAGTACTGTTCCCATATAACTGTTCCCTCTACGTCCCAGTATTCATCAATGGGATGGAGTTTCAAAGGGGATTCATGGATGGAGGGGCTTCACTCAATGTAATGCCTTATTCTACTTTCCAGGCAGCTGGGATCCCACAAAAGCACTTAGTCAGACAACCCATCTCCATCACCAGTTTTGAAAGCCAAAAAATCAAAACCATAGGTCATGTCAAGTTAGACTTAGCAGTGGGACCAATCCGCTCTACCACTAGGTTCCATGTTATAGAAGCAGAGACGACCTATCAGGCTCTTCTAGGGAGAACTTGGCTTCACAAATATGCTGCGATCCCCTCCACATACCATCAATGTGTCAAAGCAATCTACAACAATGAGATAGTAGTCATAGTTGGCTCTTAAAAACCCTTTCGAGTAGATGAAGCTCACATGGCAGATGCAGTGTTTTACAATCATGTTGATGAAGATGAACCTCCCCTGCCACTTCAAGGAACTCCCATACCCAACTGGGATGACCTCTTTGAAGAAGATTCATCACCACCTCGCAGAAAGACATTCACCAAATCAGAGCCCTTAAGAAAGCCCCTTAAAGTCACCAGGTTTCAAACAAAAGATGGCAGAGTGGTATATTGTTTATGATGGTGCGTGGGGTTGGCAAATGTTACCAATGCCGACCCCTAGCTAGATGAAGTAGCAATCGCCCATCGTGAACCAAGTGGAGAAGATCACTGTTACTACACCTTGTCTGTGCTGGCCCAATGACCGCCAATGGAAAAGAATAAAAAAAGTAGAGACAAGAAGAGTAGAAGGAGAAAAAAAGCTGTGGCTTTTCCAGCAATGGGTAAACACTTTGACAAATTCAATTGTCCTGCAACAACTCATTTGGATGGAGCCCTTACCAAGGTAGTCATTTCATCTCCTAACCAAGTCCCCGCCAACTTGGTTGCAATCCTAAAGCAAGATGGATTACAAGAAGTCCGACTGCTTCGGAGTGTTTACAGGACGTCCCTTGGCCCCAAAAGCAAGAACTGGAAGAAATTAACATAGCCCCTGAAGGAGAACCCAGTCGTCCTATCTTCATTTGCAAAGATCTGCCAACAGAACAAAGGGGGCCCCTCATCGAGTTGATCAAGAAGTATTTGGATGTTTTCGCATGGACATATAAAGAAATGCCAGGACTAGACAAAGATGTTACCATGCATCGTTTGAACGTCATTCCCTTGGCTCGCCTAGTCAAGTAAGGTGTAAGATTTTATAAGCCCGAGGTGGAGCTCAACATCAAGGACGAAGTGGAGAAGCTGCTTGGAGTAGGATTTATCAAACCCATCCAACATCCCACCTAGCTTTCTAGCATCGTCCCAGTTATAAAAAAGAACGATCAAATTCGAGTATGCGTCGATTTCGGAGACCTAAACAAATCTTGCCCAAAGATGAGTTTCCACTCCTAAACATAGACACCTTGATTGATTCAGCGTCGGGGCACCATATGTTCTCATTCATAGATGGTTTCAGCGGCTACAACCAGATCAAGATGGCTCCAGAGAATGCCCCTAAGCCAGCATTTCGCACTCCCATAGGTAACTTTTTCTATACTATAATGCCTTTTGAATTAAAAAACGCGGGAGCAACATACCAAAGAGCTATGACAGCCATCTTTCACGATATGTTGCACAAATCCTTGGAATGTTACATTGATGATTTGGTCGTAAAATCCAAAGAGGAGACTAGTCACCTTAGAGACCTCCAAAGAGTCTTTGAACGCTGTAAAAAATACAGACTCCGAATGAACCCGCTTAAATGCGCATTCGGAGTCATTGTCAGCAAGCTCCTTGGCTGCATCGCTCATCACCATGGGATATACCTCGACCCAGCAAAAGTTGTTGCCATCAAAAATATGCCATGACCAACCAATCTAGACGAGTTAAGAACCTTCCTTGGTCAGACATCTTACTTGAGACGGTTTATTCCAGCTATGGCCGAAATAACACAACCCTTTAATTCATTACTAAAGAAGGATGCCAGTTTCATTTGGAATGAGGAACACCAACAAGCATTCGAAGGAGTAAA